CTTGGACCCTTAGGGTAAGGAAAGGTTTAGGGTTTAGGATACCTAGGTGAAAGTATGTAGACTAATGGCCTTTTGGGCTATGTTTCAAGGTTTTGGGCAGTTTTTTTACCCATTTTTGGGGTTTAGGCAATGATAGAGTAAAGGAGGTCGAAGTTAAGGTTTAGGGTTGAGGGTTTAAGGCTTGGGAGCTTCCCATAACTAGGGGTACCTTTTTTGGGGGGTCCCAATATAAGAACTATAGTCTATCTTGGGGTCCCCCTATGTACGGAAACTACCGAGTAGGCACAATACAAAACAAGTGTTCACATGATAGTATAAGTATAAGGGACTACGCATGTTGGCTGGTTGCAATGCGTTTTTGTCGACCGAGGGTGGCGATAGGCTATTATGTTCAGGGGCTTGTGGTCAAGTTGCTTAAGCATGGGGGGGGCCTCTGGGTCCAAGGTGTAGGGTGCCGAACTCGACACTTAACCCATGCGTTGGGGAGTTCTAAGATTGAGGGTTTAAGGTTCATGGATAAAGTATGGTGTTTAGGGCTTAGGTACTCCATAACCCCACAGCTCAAAATTACCTGAAGCCCTCATCTTGTGTGGCATTTGGGCTCAAATTCCTGGAAATATGAACCCTCAGAGCCTTACCTAAACTCCAAAAGTGGTGAAACAATGGCCCAAAACCCTCAAATATAGCCCCAAAAGCGAATATTCTACATACTTTGGGGGTCCAGGTAGGGGAAGGGTGAGTAAGGGAGTAAAGGATCAATCCTATAGCCCAAACCCGGGTGCCCTGCTACCTACCATTTTCTGCGCCGCTTAAATACACGTTTTAGCGTTCAGGGTTTAGGGTAAACTCCCAAGAAGCCCAACCACCTACGTAGTAGGTTGTATGTACTTCAGGGCTCCAGCGGAACTACCGCGGATGGAGGACATCTTGCTTCGGCTAGAATCATAAACAGAGGAACAATACACGCCCAAACTCCAAATCTTGAACGCCAAAGCTCCGCTATAGACCCTCATCTCACCCTTCCCTAATCCCTACATCCACAAACCCATTGGTGCCTGAACCCTAAAGCCTAAACTGCACACGGGTACAGGGTTTGGGGAGCCCGAGAGGGGGAGTTGCGGGGATACTTTGGCAGCTTATGGTTCAGGACTCCCTCCTCGCGTGTCACGGGGGGAGGGAACAGCAGGGCTATGCAACAATTCTATATGTATCATCCGAGAGATGCACCCTCCCACTTGTTCTTAAGTACCAGCAAGTGAAGGGTAGGTGAGGTGTTAGCAGTAGCAAGTTTGGAGCAGCAAGTTATGTTCATTGCTATAGTCCCCCTTAAGTGGATAGAATATGGCTTTGGCTACATTATCCTATGATCCCCATATACCCCATAGTCTANNCTATCTACTTAAGGGGGACCAGAGGTCTAGGTAATTTCAGAGCAAGAATTCCACCAGAAATAGGAGATTTCATATATCAAAAGGTTACAGCCACATTTGTCTGACTCATGGCCCATTTCTGGCTACACTTGAATCTTAAAGTAGGCCATTGACGAGCAAGATCTTCCGTGGGCTTGATTGACATTGGGCTTAAGGTCATTTCAGAGGGTGAGTAATATATCGTACACATGGCTCGATGACAATGCCAGGTGGTCCTTTCTAGTTCCTTGCTGGGTTTGCTGTGTTTTTTTGGGTAAGGGGTTATGGTATACAGGCCCAGAAGTAATTGCATATGAGCCCGAATCGTATAGCTACAAACTTAAACCATTCTAAGACGCTCTATCAAACAGAAACTTCATACTTGCGTGCAAACACTTCCGGAATATACTTGAGCTAGAACACAGTATAATACCACACATCCCTGGTTATATGTTCATGTAACCTGTAATCCCCCCAGGCCGACAATATGCCAGATTGTCTTTCAGGATTTCGTGGGGTTACCCAGAGGGTCCATGTA